GCCTTTTCGAGTGGATGGTTATGCCCTTCGGCTTGTCTAATGCGCCGAGTACCTTCATGCGAGTGATGAACTAGACACTATAGGATCTCATCGGGAAGTGTGTCATCATTTATTTTGATGACGTACTCATTTATAATCTATCGGTCGTGGAGCCTTTGCATTATGCGCGCGAGGTACTTCTTATTCTTCGTGCATAGTCCTTCTTCGCATCTTCGGGCAAGTGTTACTGATGGGTGTATGAGAGCAAGGTGACCGCTATCCACGTTTGGCTGACCATGATGCCATTCATAGAGGCTCGTAGATTCCACAACCTAGCATCCTTTTAACGGTGCTCTATTGCTCACTTCAATTCCATTACAACATCGATCACGAATTGCCTTACGGACAAGTCATTTGTCTAGATGTTTTAGGCCGCTGTCGCTTTCAACCGCATCGAGCATAAGCTCACTTCCGCCCCGATGTTGGCACTTCCAATTTTTTCACAGCCATTCGAGTTATGTTGTGAAGCGTCAAAGGTCGATATTGGGGTCATTCATAGCCATGAGGCGTGGTCGATGGCTTTCTTTAATGACAAGCCCGCGTATGCGTTACAAAACTTAAAATGTGAAGTTTTATGCGGTTGTACGTGCCATTCATCATTGGTGGCACTATTTATTCCATCGAGAGTTCGTTCATCGATCATGAGGCGTTGCGACATCTTGCATCCCAAGACAGCATATTTGCTCGGCACGCGTCTTGGACGTCCTTTTTGCAGCAATTCTTTTTTGTCCTCAAACATCATTCAAGCGTGTCCAATCAGGTGGCTGATGCATTGAGCAGACGCTCTAGTATTTTGACATGCATGCGTGTTACACATATACTCTTATTCGTTTCAGACCAATACGCGTGTGATGCGTTCTTTGGCCCAATTTTATCCTACCTGGCTTCCAGACCAGTTGATGATTTTGTTCTGCATATGGTTTTCTTTGTAAGGGGTTCCATATGTGTGTCTCGCATGGTAGTCTTCGGCTAAAGCTTATTGGAGACCTTATGGTGCGGGGCATGTGGGTCGTGATCGGTCTGTGGAGTTGGTACAACAAACCTTATTTTCGTCGTCTTTGCGGCGTGATGTCTCTTGTTTTGTGGAACGATGTCGGGTTTTCTAGGTATCAAAGGGAGTCTCATCCAATGCAGGTTCGTATCGCTTGCCGTCGGTCATTTCTCAGCCATTGTGCACCAATAGCATGGACTTTTTCTTTGGTATGCCACTTGCCCAACGAGAAAATGATTTCATTTTCGTGGTTATGGATCACTTCTTTAAGATGGCGCACTTCATTCCACGCAAGCGCACGACGAATGTCGTTCATGTGGCACAACTCTTTTTTTGGGAGGTCTATCGTTTGCATGATCTGCCTTCCTCCATCATGTTCGACCCTGATATGCAGTTTCTCAGCTTCTTCTAGCATAGTTTGTGGCGTCAGACGAACACCAGGTCTGACTTTAGTAGCGTTTATCATCTACAAACGGACGGCCAGACCGATGTCGTCAGTCGCTCGTGCGATCTGTGGCTTAGGAAAATCTATTTTTAACATAATTCGGCCCTAAGGCATGCTACGCGGTACGATCTGTTTCAGGTGGTGTACGGGATGATCCCGCGTGGACCGTTGAACTTGTTGGCTTTGCCGTCCTATAGTCTCGAGGAGCGACGGGCCGAGGACTTGTGGACGGATTTGTGCCACATACATGAGAAGGTGCGCGCACATTTGGAGGCCACGACCGCCGCCTATAAGCGTCGGGTGGATTCACGTCGTCGACATGTAGAGTTTGGTGTGGGCGATTCCGTTTAGGCCATTTTAACGAAGGACCGCTTTGCGACACATGAGTATAACAAGCTTTCGGCCTGCATAATTGGTCCTATGGCGATCATTGAGAAGATTAACCCGAACACCTACCATCATAGCTTATCATCTCATGTGCGCACCTCGGATATGTTCAATGTCAAGCACTAGGTCCCTTTTCACAGTGATAATTCTAACGATGAGAATGGCGCGGATGCGAGGACGAATCCTCTCCAGCCGAGGGAGAATGATTCCAACGAGAGTGCGTTGGTATTTGTCGACAAACACGATCGACTTGTGCCGCTAGTTTGAGTACTATTTTATTATCGTTATTATTATTAGTATTGCAGTGTTTATTTCTAGGTTATGTTTGGCTTGTTGATGTTGGGCATGTTTTACATTGAATTTAGGCTTTTTGGTTGTCTTAAGATCCCTCTTTCTTGTTTTCCAGCAATTGAAATTGAAATAAGAATTACGTGTTGAGATTGAAATCTCTCTTATCTTCTCACATCGTATGCTTCCTACATCAGGTATTGTGATGTCCTAAGGACAAGTAGGTTGGTGGACATACTGATATTAGGTATATATAAGTGACCTCTAGGTAGTAGGTTGGTGGACCCACTGGTAATGTGTCTACGGTACCTAAGGGCATGTTGGTCGGTGGACCTACTTTTATTTAATGAAAATATTGAAAATTATTTATACACATTATACCAAAAAAAAAAAAACTATATATAATATACAAATATTTATTTTATTGTGGTAAATTTTTATTAGTATGGTACTATTAAAATTCACAAAATAAAATTAGAATACATCCACAAATAAAATCTCCATATTATTTAACATAGTAAATACATGGGTAAAATACTTTTTCTCATCAGAACTATCACGGCGCATTACCATATAAACTATTTTTTTCTACAAACCACCATACGAACTATACAGGTTTGTCAATGTGCCCCCTAAACCGGATATAAAAGTGGTTTAGGGGGCACATTGACAAACCCGTGATAGTTCATATGGTGGTTTGTAAAAGTATAAAGAGGGCACATATGGTGACCAAACAGTTTTTTTCAGTCAAAACCACTTTTATATCTGGTTTAGGGGGCACATTGACAAACCTGTATAGTTCATATGGTGGTTTGTAAAAAAAAAAAATAGTTTATATGGTGATGCGCCAAAACCGTGATAGTTCGGATGGGAAAAAATATTTTACCCTAATTACATCTACAAATACATGTTATACATAAAATTATAAATAATATATAAAAATAATAAAAATTAAAAAAAAAAAGAATTTAGCGTTGATCTTACAGTGCATCCCGACATGTGCCACTGTCCAGAACTGGAATGGCGCAAACATTTAGAGCAAGATTGAAGGAGAAATTGCTATACCAATTTGGCGAAATCAAGGAAGTGGTGCAACATTGAAGATGACCTTACAACTCAATTTCTCTTTATCTTCAACCTAACTCAATTTAAATATTTATTTTATTTTAATTTATTTAAAATTTATAATTTTGTTACAAAATCTATCAAGTATAATCTCTATGTAGAGAATGAATAAAATATGAAATTTAATATTTTTTTTATTATCTTAAACCAAAAAAATGCATTTGTTTAATAAAATGAGACAAGTATGTCACTCCAAAAAAAAAAAAAAAATTAATCGATCGTAACTTAAGGTCACATTGTGATCTGGTTGCCAATTGTACTGACCTTATTCATTTATTATTTTTTTGTTTTTTTTTGTTTTTATCCTGTGATCCAATTCATTGAGTTACGCATAAAAGTAGTCTAAGATTATCTTTATCCCTAACTCAACCCAACTCAACCTAATAATAAAAAATTATTTCACTCTCCTCTACATATACAATTAAATCTTACAACCTAAATAATCTTTATCATCAACCCAACTCAACCTAAATACTTATTATAATTTAATTTATTTAAAAATTATAATTTTATTCCAAAATATATCAAGTGCAATCTCTATTTGTAGAGAATGAAAAATACAAATTTTAATATCTTTTTTATTTTTTTATTTTTGAAAAAAAATACACTTATTCAATCACAATGGGAAATGTGTCCCATTTTCAGGTCGAGACCCAAGGTCACAATGTGACACGAGTCGCTGTTTTTTCACGACCTTCTTTTTTTTTTTTATTATTATTTTTTTTTTGTGTTTTTAAATGGTGACCCAAGTGGTTGGATCACCACTAAAGTTGGTCTAAAAGAAAACTTTTTTTTTTTTATTTGGAACCTTTTGTAATTTATATAGGAAAAAATTTAAATTAGAAATGAGTATAATTTGAATTCTCAAGGCGGGAAAGGTGGCCCCAAGAATCGGGATTGATGTTACGTTTTCTCTATTAATCCCCAAACATCGTCATGTGTGCTGCTGAGCCTCTCCTTTTTCCTCTCTCAACCTTTTCTTCTTGTTTTTGTTCAATCTCCGCCAGACCTCTCTCTCTCTCTCTCAACAATTCTCAGTCTCCATTTTCGCTACGGTGTGTGTGTGCGCGCTCTTCCCTTAAGCATTTGTCAACAATCTCCTCTTCATTTAAAGGTACTTTCAGAGCCACTCTGGTTTTCATTGTTTGTGTGTGTGTGTGTGTGTGCGTGTTTAAACATTAAACTATATTCTTTGTTGATTTTCCGTCATTGCGGTGTTGGTATATTTCTCTGAAAAAAAGAAGTTTCTGAAATTGAGATTTAATTTTTACGAACCTAATGGAAGTTTGTTCGGATTGTGATGTTGGGAATCTGGTTTCCGATTGTGGATACTTCCCAATTTCTATAGTTCGTTTCCTACTAGCTTAATTCTGTGGATCTACAAATTTCGAAGGTTAATGACTAGGTTTGGTCAATGAGCTGGTAATTGGCGTGGAATTGAAGAGGGACAATGAATAAAACAGTCTTCAGCTTGTAAACAAGCTTGAAACTGTGATTATGACTTGTATTTATGGTCATATAGGCATTTGGATATTTATTGGAGCAAACCTTATTTCTCTTGATAGCAGACAAGGAAATCAAGCTGGCAGATTGGTTTTAAGCTTTCATTTTTACACTTAATTTTTGAACTTAATGTGTTGTGATTTTGTTTGTTACGTTTGTGGATTGACGTGTGAGTTCATCGCCTAAGTTATTTTCACTCTTGTGCCTATTGCAGAGTAAAAAATGGAGAATGAGGTGAGGAAGCTCGATGCATCATGCTGGAATGGTCAAATTTTCCTGGATAGTTCTGAATGGCTTGTGGAGAATATCAAGAGTAACAAACTCTCTCCCTCTCTCTCTCTCTATCTGTCTCTGTGTGTGTGTGTGTGTGTGTGTGTGTGTGTGTGTGGTTACAACATCTTACAACAACGTTTGGTGTTTCCTCTTAGTACTGCTATATGGTAACCGAATAATGTAACTTTGCAATTTTGTTGAAGGGTCTAAGTTAGCAAAGAATGCCTAGTTTTCACCAGATTATCAAAATATACCAACAAAGACCTCCTTGCATATGTATTAACTTAACAATTACCTCTTATTTTGTTGGTGCTATCTGTAACATATTATAAAATACCAATAGATATTTGTAATTCTTTAAGGTGGTGGGTTTTGCATTTTTAACCTTAAAATATTATTGGCAAATTAGCCTTGTGTAAATCCAACGAATTGCTAAAGCTCCATCCAAACTGATGGACTGCAAAATTTCAGGATTTCTTTTGTCATTGATTCTAGACCTTAAAAAGTTTCTTTTTTCTTCTGAAATATTCTCCCCCGAATCCCAATCACTCAGTCCAAACGCATTAGAGAATTATTACCATTTTGTCATTTTTGTTAACGGAAAAGATATTAAAAATCCGGAAGGGAAACTCCCATGCTGGGTACAGAAGAGATACTAAAAATCGATAGTGCAGGTATTGATCAGAGTGTAAAAGAAATGCTGCAGTTGATCGAAAATGATGAAGGTTCTCAGATGGAGAATGGTGATAACAATAGCAATTATCCTAATAAGCAGCCAGAGTTAATTGCCCGTATTAAGGAAATCTCACACCGCCACCACTTGCTTGCTGATCACTACAACAAGCTAACGGGAGAACTGAGTAGTCAAAGCAAGTCAGCCAAGAATAACGAGAAAAAAACATTCAACCCTCAGCTCACCCCTCCTTTCCTTACTCCTATGAATAAACTGAGGATGCACAATCTCGATGGCCAACTAGTTGCTTCGGATTTATCTCTAAGTTCGGGCGGAGGAATTTCGGATGTAACTCCAAACGAAGGATCCGAATCCTCACTGTCATCAGATTCGGATTCGGAGACTTATTATGTGTCACCTAACGAGCATTCGAGTTCGGTTCGTTCTCAGAAGATGCTGGAGCATGAAGTAGTGAGTTTGAGAACAGGCTTTGAAAAACAACTGAGTATTTCAAATGAGAAATTGTTGTCTGCAGAAGAGGAAATTGCTAAATTGAAGAGGGAACTAGAAAATAATGAGAAGGTCATGGTGAAATTGGGTGGTCTAGAAGTTGAGCTTCTGGCAGCCAAGAATCAAATTAAGCTGCATGAGGCTGAGACCGAGAGGGAGAATGGAAGGTCTTTGCTGCTGCAAATGAAAATAGTTGAATTAGAAGGTGAACTTGAGTTTGAGAAAAAGAAAGTTTATGAATTGCAGGAGAGTGTAGAAAAGTACACTACAGAGTTGTCGGATCGTGATGTTAGGATACAGGAGCTTAATGCGGAGCTCGAAATTGCTTTAGGAAATTTTGCTTTGGAAAAGTGGCAGCTGGAAGCATCTATTTCTAAATTGTCCGAACGTTTGAATTTTCTTGAGGCAGAAAATAAGGAGCTTCGTTTGCAGTGTAAACTATTAGATGATGAGATCAAGAAACTCCAAGATGGGAAAATTGAAATTGAAAAAGAGCAAGAAGCTTCAAGAATCATTTGGCAAGATAATATCGAGTATGCAAAAATCGAGTTATCCAAGAAAACTGCACTTGCTGATGCTTTGAATAAAAATCTTGATGGTCTGAAACTAAAATACGACATTCTAAAGGCCGAGAATGACGGACTCAATGCTAAGCTACAGACACTTGTTGCCGAACAACAATCTCAAGAGGATCATATTGAAGATCTTGAACACAATTTGCAAAGAGTAGAGTTTGAGAACAAGCAGCTTATTTCGGGGGCTGATAGTGCAAAGAAGCTAATGGATGAGCTAAAGTTGAGGTCTGATGAGTTACAGAAAGAGGTCCACATGCAGGAGGTTGTGATATCTGATATGGCTGAGGAAAAAAGGGAAGCTATAAGACAGCTTTGTTTCTCGCTCGACTACTTCAGATTTGCCTATGAAGATCTTCGAAGTGCATATGTCGTTCGTAAACGTCCTGTGGCTGTGGTGCCATAAAGTTTGGTTTTACCGTTTATTAGAACATGGTGCTGCTTATTCATTGTTGTCTTTGATAGTGTTTTTCCTTTTCCAGCTTTTTTTTTCTTTTTTTTTTTTTTTGGGTGCGGTGGCGAAATATATGATTACAGATGCAATGTTTGTGTAAGGTTGCAGAATCTGGGATTTTTCATCGCCGCAAATCTGTTTTGGAGTCATCATTTATGGCGCATGTTTTCGTTAATGCTTTAAACTTTTAAAGAAATGTTGAGGGTCTGTAAAATTGTATTATGTGGAATGTGAACATTTATTTCTCAAAAGCTAAATTGCTTCTCATGTTAAGATTTCGTGATTGACCCAGTCTGATAGTGTTGATTAGTTAAAAGATCCGAATCTCCTTTTGGTTTAATAGAATTATAGAAGTGTTATAAAATCTCTATATATATGTTGAGTGAAGATTACAATATGACATACGAATTAAAATAAAAACGAGAAAAGTAAACAACACAAGATTTACGTGGTTCGGCAATGTGCCTACGTTCACGGCGGCTGAGGGATCTTTATTATTCTCAATAGTCTCAAATACATCAATATTTACGCTTGCAGGCATCAGCCTGTCTCCTTCATTTGTCAATATATGAGTCATATCAACAATATATAATTGTTGGCTAATAGCATTTAATAAAACCTCATTTCGATTTCCCTCTAAAACTGTTACAAACTTTATCATTTATATCTCTCTCTCTCTATATTTAGCCATTTGCCTGCAGTCGTTCGCAAGAGCAGGTGCATTTTTATTTAGTGAAATTCACGCGTCCTTGAAAATTCAAACAAGATGCAGAACGATGAGGGGCAGAACTGTTGGGCTCAGATGCGCAATGCGGAAGATGTAAATTAAAATATCAAGGTAAAATGGTAAACAATAATCCCAATCCCAGCAACTCAAGAATGACAAAAGAAAAATCTCTTGCAATAATACCGGAATAATTCTTTTCTGATGTCGAAGATCAGATTAAACTGCGACCACAGAGCATACTAAGAATATCCCAAATAAATAAAATATGCAAGAAATAAGACACCAAGATTTAACGTGGAAAAACCTCCAAATAGAGGAAAAAACCACGGGACAACCTCCGAACAATTCCACTATATTTTCAAGATAATTACAATATCTTTTCACACTCCCTTACACTAGAAATGTAAAATATAGTGACCCAGTGAGAACTCCACTCCTAAACAAGGAATAATAGAGTTGAACCCAACCCGGTGTATTTTTCCCACACTCACAGGATTTACTCAAACACTCTATTTTTATCTCACTAAAAAATAACACTCACTCCAGAAACTGATGTTGTTTCTGCTCTCTTTTTCTTTCTTCTTCTCGGTGCATCATAAGCTCTTCCGCTGCTTCAGTATTTATAAGAAAATGAAACTACACTTTCCAACAATGACAACCCATTGTCAGATAACAACTCATTAAAAAAAAAAATTCCTAATCTACTTTTAGTTGTCAGAATAAAAACAACTCAATTACAACTAGTTTTAGTTGTACTCCATGTTGGCTGGACCCCACAATTCTCCCCCTCCAGCCAAAGGGAAATATTCTGCAAATCTTCACATGCATTCCATGCCGATCAACTCGGCACAAAGCTGAAGCTTTCCTCCTGTTACAACTTTCGTCATCATGTCAGCAGAATTATCATCAGTGTGAATCTTTTCCAACTTGAACTGTTGTTCTTCCACTACTTGACGTAGCCAATGATATCTGACATCAATGTGCTTCGTGCGAGAGTGGTACATCGCATTCTTACTCAAATCCAATGCGCTCTGACTATCACAATGGATATCGTACCTTTCCTGCTTCATTCCTAATTGTTGAAGAAACCTCTTCAACCAAAGCATTTCTTTGCCTGCTTCTGTCATAGCAATATACTCTGCTTCAGTAGTCGACAAGGCAACAGATTTCTGCAATTTAGATTGCCAAGATACAGCTCCTCCTGCAAATGTAAACACAAACCCTGAAGTAGATTTTCTACTATCCAGGTCACCTGCTATATCCGCATCTGTATAACCTTCAAGAACTGGGTTTCCTTTTCCGAAGCTCAAGGACTTATTTGTACTGCCTTTTAGGTACCTCAAGACCCACTTCACAGCTTCCCAATGATCCTTTTCAGGATTGGAAAGATACCTGCTAACAATTCCAACCGCGTGAGCGATATCCGGTCTAGTACAAACCATGGCATACATCAAACTCCCAACTGCTGAGGAGTATGGAACACCTGCCATAGGTTCTTTTTCTTCTTGACTCGTAGGACAACTTCGTTTGCTGAGTTTGAAGTGATTGGCTAACGGTGTATTGACTGGATTAGCCAATTTCATGTTGAATCTCTCCAGAATCCGATTCACATACCGTTCTTGCGATAACCACAACCACTTTGATTTTCGGTCTCGCATGATCTGCATGCCCAAAATTTGTTTCGCAGGGCCCAAGTCTTTCATCTCAAAGGACTTTGCTAATTTCTTCTTCAGATCACCTATCAACTTCATATCCTGTCCCACTATCAACATATCATCTACATATAACAAAAGGATAATGAACTTATCACCTGAAAATTTCTTAACGAACACACAATGATCTGCATCAGTCTTGGTATATCCATGGCTCGCCATGAACGAGTCAAACTTCTTATACCACTGCCTTGGAGCTTGTTTCAATCCATACAAGCTCTTCTTCAATCTGCAAACCATGTGCTCCTTTCCGGTCCTCTCAAATCCTTCTGGTTGCTCCATGTAGATTTCTTCATCTAGGTCTCCATGAAGAAATGCAGTCTTCACATCTAGTTGTTCAAGCTCCAGATCCAAGCTAGCCACCAATCCGAGTACTACTCGAATAGAGCTCATCTTTACCACCGGAGAGAATATCTCATCAAAATCTATTCCTCGCTTTTATCCAAATCCTTTCACGACTAAGCGAGCCTTATACTTCAACAGCTTGTCACCATCTTTCTTAAGCTTGAACACCCATTTATTCTTCAAGGCTTTTCTGCCTTCCGGAAGCTTCACAAGCTCATAAGTTTCATTTTTCATCAGTGAATCCATTTCTTCTTGCATGGCTTTCATTCACTGGGATTTATCCTTATGAGTTTGTACTTCTTCAAAGCTTTCTGGCTCCCCTTCTTCAGTGATGGTAATATACGTAGAACTAGGGTATCTCGTAGACGGTTGGATCGCTCGGTTTGATCTCCTGAGCTGTGGTGGAGCTTCGAGGTCTTCTTGCTCGACACCTTCACCACCACCATCTTCTATTGCTGGCTCCTCATCAACCCTGAGTTCTCCATCACACTCTCCCCCTGCTGTGGCATCTCCAGGAGGTTTGACAGGTGAAAGATCCACCTTTCCACTTGGTTCTCTGATTTCTGGTGAAGCAGAATCAGACATAGTTTCTTGCTCATGGAACACTACATCTCTGCTTCTGATAATTTTTCGATTTCCTGGATCCCATAACCTGTAGCCAAATTCCTCATCTCCATAGCCCAGAAATATACAAGGAATGGCTTTATCGTCAAGTTTTCGTCTATGTTCCTTGTGTACGTGAGCAAAAGCTTTGCATCCAAACACCTTCAAATGAGAGTATTTAACATCATGTCCGGACCATACTCTCTCAGGTATATCAAAGCCCAAAGGAACAGATGGAGATCGGTTGATCAGGTAGCACGCCGTTAGAACAGCTTCACCCCAGAATGGCTTAGGTAGCTTAGCCATTCTTAACATACACCTCACTTTCTCCATAATGGTTCTGTTGATTCTTTCAGCCACACCATTATGTTGTGGGGTTCCAGGTACAGTCTTCTCATGCCTGATGCCATGCTCGGCACAATAATTCTTGAATTCATGGGAAATATACTCCCCCCCATTATCTGAGCGAAGACACTTCAAATGTTTACCAGCCTGTCTCTCCACCATAGCATGAAACCTTTTGAAATATTGAAAAACTTCACTCTTCGTTCTCAAGAAATACACCCACAATTTTCTTGAAGCATCATCAATAAACGTCATGAAATATCTGCTACCACCGAGACTCTCCACTTCCATGGGTCCACATACATCAGAATACACCATCTCCAACACATTCTCTTTCAGCTTCGAGGTTTTGCTGAAAGACACTCTATGATGCTTCCCAAAGAGACAATAATCACAAGGATTCAGTTTTGAATCTTTGGCAAATGGGATGAGGGACTTTCTTGCCAAAATTTGTAATCCTTTTTCACCAATGTGAGCCAGTCTTTTGTGCCACAAATTTGGCGAAGCATCATCTTCGATTGCATTCAATCCACCCTTGATCAGCTTCACTTGAGTTCTGTACAGTGTCGATCTCACTGTACCTCTAGCAGCTAACAATGATCCTTTGGTAAGCCTCCACGTGCCGCTACCAAAATTGTTAGTATAGCCTGCTAGATCTAGTGCTTACACAGAGATCAGATTCAGACGTAAGTCTGGTATATGTCGTACGTCCTTCAGAGTTATTGTGCACCCAATATCAGTTTGAATGCACATATCACCAACTCCCACAATATTTGCAATGCTGTTGTTGCCCATCTTTACTCTACCAAAGTCTCCTTCTTTGTATAGAGAAAAGAATTCCTTGTGAGAGGTTGCATGGTATGATGCTGCTGAGTCAATGACCCATTCAACACATGAATCTGCAACGTGACATTCTTCTTCTTCAACAGAGAGCAACACCACTTCCCCATTGATCACAGGGGTTGCGGTATTTTCACCGTTCTCTGATCTGTTGTTCCTCCAACCTTTGTTCTTCCAGGCTTTGCAGTTTCTTTTGATATGCCCTTCTTCACCGCAGTGATAACACTTGAACTTTCTCCTGGGTTGAGATTGTGATTTATCTCTGGATTTGTTATCCCGACCTCTGCTTTTACTTCTCCCCCTGGTTTCTGTGACCAAGGCTTGGGAGCTGCTTGCCCCAGAGTCTTTTCTTCTTGTTTCTTCATTAAACATACTGTCTTTGACTTGGGTCAAAGTCAGTTTTCCCTCAGGAGCAGAGTTGCTCAACGAGACCACCAGAGTCTCCCAGCTATCCGGTAAAGAACTCAAAAATAACAGCGCCTGCAGTTCTTCATCAAGTTTCATTTCCATGGTAACAAGTTGGTTCACCATGTCTTGAAATTCATTCAAGTGTTCTGCAACTGATCTTCCATCCCGGTATTTTAGATTTACAAGCTTTCTAATGGCGAAAGCTTTATTCTGTGCAGTCTTCCTCTGGTACATCTGTTCAATTTTGTTCCACAGAGTATGGGCTTTCGACTCTATAGCAACATGGTGGAATATGCTGATATCCACCCACTGTCGGATTAAACTGACAGCCTTCCTGTGTAACTTTTTCCAATCGTCATCCTTCACATCATCTGGCTTGTTGTCTCCCTTTTCTACAGGATCGTACAGATCTTTGTAGAAAAGTATGTCCTCCATTTTTGGCTTCCAAATGGAGGAATTTGTTGCTGTAAGCTTCACCATGGTACCCACGTTCTCCTCCATTTAATTTACACTGGCCGATACAGAGCCCAAAGTGAGCTCTGATACCACTTGTTGGGCTCAGATGCGCAATGCGGAAGATGTAAATTAAAATATCAAGGTAAAATGGTAAACAATAATCCCAATCCCAGCAACTCAAGAATGACAAAAGAAAAATCTCTTGCAATAATACCGGAATAATTCTTTTCTGATGTGGAAGATCAGATTAAACTGCGACCACAGAGCATACTAAGAATATCCCAAATAAATAAAATATGCAAGAAATAAGACACCAAGATTTAACGTGGAAAAACCTCCAAATAGAGGAAAAAACCACGGGACAACCTCCGAACAATTCCACTATATTTTCAAGATAATTACAATATCTTTTCACACTCCCTTACACTAGAAATGTAAAATATAGTGACCCAGTGAGAACTCCACTCCTAAACAAGGAATAATAGAGTTGATACCCAACCCGGTGTATTTTTCCCACACTCACAGGATTTACTCAAACACTCTATTTTTATCTCACTAAAAAATAACACTCACTCCAGAAACTGATGTTGTTTTTGCTCTCTTTTTCTTTCTTCTTCTCGGTGCATCATAACCTCTTCTGCTGCTTCAGTATTTATAAGAAAATGAAACTACACTTTCCAACAATGACAACCCATTGTCAGATAACAACTCATTAAAAAAAATATCATAATCTACTTTTAGTTGTCAGAATAATAACAACTCAATTACAACTAGTTTTAGTTGTACTCCATGTTGGCTGGACCCCACAAGAACATGGATCTCTACATACCTAGGAAATGCTCAGCCACTAATAGGCTGATCACGTCCAAGGATCACGCGTCCGTCCAGCTCAACATCGGGCATTTGGATGAGGCTGGTCGTTACATTGGTCAATCCACAACTTTTGCCCTCTGTGGATTCATCCACGCCCAGGGTGATGCAGACAGCGCCATTGATAGGCTCTGGCAAAAGAAGAAAGCAGAAGTGCATCAGTAATGATCTTTCGAGGTTATTGTGTTGAGTAATGAAACTGAGTTTTAAGAAGCTTTATGGGAAGTGAGACTTGTTGTATGGTTTAGGATTAATGTTTTAAAATTCCGGGAACTAAAAAATGCTGTTGGATATTTGTACCTCTTCTCCATTTCACGCTGTTTACTTCCGAATACCCAGTTTTGTTATCCATATTTTTGTTACTAGGCTACATGGATCTTGAATATTATTTTATGCTCCATCCTTTAAAAAAAAAAAAAAATCTCTCTCTATATTTAATTACTAATACAACAACAACAAAACCTTTTAGTCCCAAATAAGTTGGGTAGGCTAGAGATGAAACTCAAGAGAAACAGTGGTAAGAGAAAAACAAAAGGCCTCAAAATAAAACAAAACAAAACAAAACTCAAAATAAAAACAAAACAAAAGGAAGAGATTGTAGCAAAAGAGAAAGGACAAAAGTCACGGTTTCGGCACGTTGATCGCTAGCCTCCAAACGCTCCTATCCACCGCTAAATTCTTGGAGATATTTCAATTTTTAAGGTCTCTCTGAACCGACTCTTCTCAAGTGAGTTTAGGCCGACCTCTACCTCTCTTAACATCATCGACCCGCTGTAGAACTCCCCTACGCACCGGTGCATCAGGAGGCCTCCGTTGGACATGTCCGAACCACCTCAGCTGATGTTGAACCAATTTCTCCTCAATTGGAGTCACCCCGACCTTATCTCGAATATCCTCATTCTGGATTCTATCCTGGCTTGTGTGCCCGTAAAACCAACGCAGCATACGCATCTCTGCTACACTTAGTTGTTGGACATGTTGCCTTTTTGTAGGCGAACATTCAGGACCGTATAGCATCGCCGGGTGAATTGCCGTCCTATAGAACTTACCTTTTAGCCTTTGTGGCACCCTCTTATCACAGAGAATGCCCGAAGCTTGACGCCATTTCAACCACCCGGCTGCAATTCTATGCCTAACATCTTCATCAATGTCGCCATCCTTTTGTAGCATCGATCCCAAATACCGGAAAGTCTCATTCTTGGCCACCACTTGCCCGTCAAGGCTAATGTCACCATCATCATGAGTAGCCATGCTGAAAGCGCACGTCATATACTCGGTCTTCCTCCTACTAAGTCTGAAGCCTTTCGACTCTAACGTGCCTTTCCACAGCTCGAACTTCCTATTTACCTCTGCCCTACTCTCTACAACTAGCACCACATCATCAGAAAAGAGCATACACCAAGGGATATCACCTTGTATGTCCCTTGTGGGCTCATCCATCACCAAGGTAAATAAATAAGGGCTCAATGCTGACCCTAAGGTAGTCCTATTTTAATTGGGAAGTCGCTGGTATCACCCACACATGTCACGTCATCGCATTCTTGTACATATCCTTAATGAGGGTGATGTACTTAGATGGAGGACTTTGTGCTTTTCTAAGGCCCACCACATGACATTCCTCGGTACTCTGTCATAAGCCTTCTCAAGGTCGATAAAGACCATTTGCAAGTCCTTCTTTTGGTCCATATATCTCTCCATCAACTGTCGTATTAGGAAAATCGCCTCCATGGTCGACCTTCCAGGCATAAACCCAAATTGGTTTTGGGTCACACTCGTCACTCGTCGTAGGCGAGGCTCAATAACCCTCTCCCAGAGCTTCATCGTATGGCTCATCAACTAAATCCCACTGTAGTTACCATAGAATTGAACATCACCCTTGTTCTTGAAGATCGATAATAAAGTACTTCTCCTCCATTCATCAGACATCTTGTTTGACCGAAAAATAAGGTTAAAAAGCTTAGTTAGCCATACTAACGCTCTGGCTCCCAAGCATCTCCACACCTCAATGGGGATACCATCAGGGCCCATTGCTTTACCTCCCTTCATCCTCTTCATAGCCTCTCCGATCTCTGCCTCCTGAATTCTCCGTCACCAAGCGTCTATTGGTATCCTCAATTGAGTCATCCAACTCCAGGGTAGGACCCTCACTCTCCCCATTAAACAATTTTTTGAAGTACTCTCGCCATCTGTCCTTGATCTTCCCATCCTTCGCCAATGGTCGATCTGACCCATCCTTGATGCATTTGATTTGGTTGATGTCCCTTGTCTTCCTCTCCCGAATCCTAGCTATCCTATAAATGTCCTTTTCCCCCTCCTTCGTGCCTAGGCGCTGATAAAGGTAATCATAGGCCTGACCCTTCGCTACACTCACGGCATGCTTTCCACCACCAATTTCGCATCCTGCTTGCCTCCCCTACTCACACCAAGTACTTCTGCAGCCACCTTCCATACACATGTTGCCATCTTTAGCTACATGTCATCTGCATCTTCTCTTTCTTCCCAATGCCCCTCGCATAGCATCCTATCTCTAAACGTCTGCACCGCTTCCCCTTTAATCTTCCACCACTTCGTTGTCACGGTCGTGGCACGTTTGTCCCGGTGGACACGTATTCAGAATCGAAAGTCCGCCACCACCAGCTTATGCTGGGGGACAACACACTCCTCAGGAATCACCTTGCAATCTACGCAAGCGCGTTTATCCTCCCTCCTTGCAAGGATAAAGTCGATCTGGCTTGAGTGTCGTCCACTTTGGAAGGTCACTAGGTGAGATTCCCTCTTCCTAAAGAGGGTGTTCGCTATCAACAAGTCATAGGCCATCCCAAAGTCCAACACACCCTCCCCCTCTTCGTTCCTACTACCATACCCAAACTGTAACACCCCGCTATGTCATAATTATCAGAGTTTAATTTTCGCAAAACCTTTTAATAAAAATTACTGATTAGTTTGCGAAATCGTGTTTCGGAGTGCTACCGTAACAATGACATTACCTGGAAAACCGTTAAATTAGTTTTTAAGAAAAACGATTTATCATAATATAAACAACCCGACTAGTAATCAGATCAAAAGGCTAAGTTTGGCAAATAGTCAAAATAAGCAGAAAACGTAGCGTGGCAAAACACTTTAAACTCCACTACGGGAGATAGTAACAACACTGCTATGCCAAATTCAAACATATAAACAAAATCCTGAACCAGCCGCCAGTTCACTCCCTGGCTCCGACCCTGTGACCTGAAAAATATAGATAACATGGGGCGTGAGCACTAATGTCCACTGTGCTCCGTTGGAACTCATACTAAAGTAAACAGTGAAAACAATTGCCATATCATGATCCTGGTATATACATGAACATAAACATAACGTAGCATGATACCGGTAAACCATTGCCATAATAACATGAATCGTTGCCTCATCTGCCAGCATAAAAATGCCAGACACCATGTGCACACTCTAGTGGGCAGACTAGGCCACTAGAACCCAGGATGGACCGACGACCATTCCAAGCGGATACATAGCATAGCATGATACATACCTCAAACATGATACCGTAATTATAATCAATGTAATACCCAGTCTGAGACCCCACATGATCCGTCGAAATAAAAAGGTAGTGCTGATAATCGTAGCCTGATCAAACTGAAACATAATATAAACAATTACTAAATACTATGCTCAGACTGATAAAATAGTTGTTTAATGTGTAAAGATGCTCAACTGGGACTTGACATGATATTGAGACTTAACCGGTATAACTGGAACCAGTTTAACATAGAACTAGACTGATATGAATTTACTGAACTGGACTGGACCCGGAATTTAACTGAAAATGGGACATAAACATGAACCGGGACATGGAACATTAAATAAGCTGAACTAGTCTGGACCGGTCGACTTTCGATCTGGCTGGACCGCCGGCTTGCTGTGGCCGGGCGGTCAGCCAGTCGGCCGCTGGCTCGGCCAACCGGCCTGCTAAGGCCTTAGGCGCGGGCGCTGGCCTGAATTGGGCGTGGCATGGCTGCTGCCGTCTTTGCCGTGCAGCACTGTGCACGGGCATGGTCGCTCGTGCGCGCAGGCGTGACACGGGGCACGACTAGCATGGCATGACTCTCGCTGGCACGACAGGCGTTAGCCTGGTCCAGCTGGACGTGACCTGGGAGGCTGGCGTGCGACTGGCGCATCGCAGACCTGACGCTGGGCGCTGCCGAGCGCTACGGGCGCTGGCGCTGCTGGGCGCTACCGAGCGCCGCATCAGGTGACTGGGCACCTGGACACGCGCACTAGCGTGCACGGTGACATGCTGGCGTGCACTGGCACTTCCAACTGACGACTGCTGCGGGCAGGCTATGCGTGACGCCCGACTGGGCATGCACGCACGCTGTCCGCCCACCATGGAACTGGCTGCCGGCACGCTGCTGCCGCTGTGTGCGGGCAGCGCGACCACGACAGGCCCTTGTCGTCCGTCAGGCGATTTCCTCCGACCATTTCAACATTAATCAATATGACACGACATAACATGATCATAACCACATAATCACGTGAAAATACATAAGAAAGACCTTGACATGGTTCAGAAAATGGTTGTAGCGTGCGCGTAGGCGCGACCCGACGCTACGACCGATATGCTCGGCCACTTGACATATTTCTCTAACAACATAAGCTTAATGACATAACATGACATATTATACCTAAACGGTCGAATGAACATGAACATGTCTTATTAAGACGTACATGGCCGCGGCTTGCGCTACGTGCGTAGCCGACGGCTTTGGCCAATCCCTCGGCCAAACCATGATCTGCTTCGACCAACTTTACATAACTGATCGTGATATGTATAATAATTATTAAAGGAAGGAAAGTTGCTCGGGAGTTGCCGAATAGAATCGAACATGGCTCGTCATAGCTTAAAATGATTTAAACCGAGCTTAACATGACATTAACATTAACCAAATAGCATGGCTTGGACATAATAAACGTAACATGATCAGACTGACATTAAGAGAAGGTTAGGACGTGATTACCTCCTCAAACGCTCAATTACTTCCATGTCCGCTCGATAGTCTTTTTTGTGCATGCGTGTGTGTGTACGTCTGTTCTTCTCCTTGCGTTGCTTAGGCCTAATTATAGGATAATTCTCTTAACTTTTGCTGAGTGTTTGGTTTAAGTGCCAGCTGAATTTCACCCCAACATTACGCATAAATAGCGGATGAATGAGGGTAAAGTTTGGGGTGAATTTGCAAAGGAAAAAAAATTGTGGCCAATGGGAGGGTGCCACTTGCTTTGAGCTTAATACATGAGGTGTACCCATATTTGCTTAGTCATCTCTTGGAGAGTTAAGAAAGAGCCACCTCATGCTCGGAAAAATTATGAGGCTTCACGTGAATATTT